GAGCTTCCAAGCGGGTGACCATGGTGTTCCGGGTGTTCGTCTCCGGGAAAGCCTTGCGCCATTTGTCAGTGCCATAATACCCTCGACGCCAAGAGCGGTCCGCTGCAGGAACTCGGGGCTTGGACAGCGCAACACTGAACCGCTCGCCGTCCGAGCAGTCTGAAAAACGATGGTTGTTCCAAAATACCACTCGTCTGCGCTCTCCGGCAAGATGGAGCTTGATGCAGTATGTTTTCCGCACTTGGATCTCGGCGTCGGCCTTCCAAAGGTTGGGGGGCTTCTTGACTGTGTCCCATTTCGTGATGACATACTTCATGCCATTTGGCGGTGGGTCCTGTCTCATGTCCTGCTCTGCCCCCGCTCGCAAAGCATCAATGAGCTGGTCCACGTTCTCGAGCCTTGTGCCAGGCTTCCTGGTTGCGTTGCATAGCCACTGGTTGCAACAAGAAAAAAGCGAGTCGACCTCGCCCTTCCCATGCTTCTCGGTGAAATAAGATATTGTCAACAGCAAATCCAACCTGTTCTCCTTCAGCAGCCACTCTTGGGCCAGGAAGGACCAAAGGTCCACTGTGCGGTAGTGCGGTCCCGTGTCGAACCACAAAGACACACGGGTAAACTTTGACAGAGGGCCCAAGCAACGTGTCATCATCTCTTGCATCTGCAATCCTGCTGCTACTGCCGTATGGTCCAAAATATCCGAAACCCACAATAGCCCAACCTTTCGGGGTGGCCCTGCGGCGCGGCCAACGTAGGCAATGCCACCTAGCAAGCTGGTTTCCATCCTCGAGCTTGCCCAGTATTCATCACCTGTGCTTTTGTGAGACAGAGGCAATGTCACGTTTTGCTTCCAGTCCAGCCACAAAAGTAGCTCGCCATCTTTTAACTCCTGAGGAAAGCTCCAATGCAACAGCTGTGTTTGGACTGTTCGTTCATAGAAAAGCATCCCCGGAAAAACATACTGTCACAGGCAACCAAGTCTGCTATTGGAAGCTACATAATTTTACACACGACGTATTCCCACATTCAGGCCTCAATCTCCTTGTGGATTGCTTCTCGCTGGCGGTCAGCGCACTGACGATGAAACTCATAAGCCCGCAAGACTTTCTTGATCCAGCGGAGTTCGTGTTCAAAGCGGGCTTCTTGTTCGTGCAGCAGGAAGATCAAGTCTCGCTTTTTGCCTTTCCCTTGCAGCTCTGCGCGATATTTTTCTGTGTGCTTGTTGAGGTACAAGAGATACGCGTGGCAGAGTCTGCAGGGCGCATGTACTGTGGGGATAGCTTTGGGATTCAGAGCTGCGGTTTATGCGTTTAGGTCTTCGGTCTTGCTTGTTTTAGTGGTGGTTTTCCACAAATGTGCCTGGAGGGCGTGCTTGCAACCACATCATCTCGCGGGGCGACAAAATGCTGGAAGTACTCTGCGTAGATATTGCATAGAGTGGACCGCATTTCATTGATGAAGCTCGTCATTTTCCTTGCAAGAAACAAACTCTCGATCAAGACGCACGGTTTCGAGTTTAGAGCTAAGGGTTTAGGGTTTAGGGTTTACACATCACTTGCCCATTTTCGGAATGGCTTTCTGTAACAAGAGCCGAAGGGCGGAACCATCACAGATGAGAAAGCATGGCAGTGGTCGCAATAGTCGGTCAGCTTCGTTCCGCGCTTGACATGCGGGCACTCCTGAGCCAGTATCCGCACGAACGTGCGGTAGGACATGGCCTTCATCAAAGCCTGCGATCGCGTGTACACTGCGGCCGGGAGGGTAGTCCAGTGGCGCACACTCTTGACTTCTTTGTTGACGATCATGAACTTCGAGCTGTCGTTGGAATTTTGAAGCGCCGCCTTCACGACCAATGCTTGTGCTTCTGGGTTCGACAACAAGCTGGGCCGCCCACGCTTTGGCAAGCCAGCCTTTTCAGAACGGCCATGCTTTGCAAGCTTCCATGGCCTGCGAGCAATGTCAATGCCAGCAGTCTTGGCTTGCCTTTGGCTCTTGAAGCCAGCGCACTGCACTGCTCCAGCCACAGCCACGCGCCAGTCCTCACGACGTTTCATTTCTGGGTTGCCAGCCATGTTCTTCAAAACATCTGCCAGCTTTCCACAACGACACCTCGTGCTGATGCCATGTGAAGCCAAAGCCCCTGCCAGTCCTGGGAAGAGAGCACAGGCCTTCTCAAGGACTGCAGAAAGAATGGTTGCCATGGTCGCTGCAGAGCTGCTAGCTTGTGTGAGGAGCTGCATGACTTGGAAAACTAATCGGCGCCTCGATCGGCCAGCCTTTTGTGACCACATCTTAGCACTCCTGCCTACCTTCTTACTGCGCTTTCCAAGAGCAAGGCGCCTAGCAAGAAGACCGCGCTCACGCTGTGGACGACTAGCCGAAGAGGCAGGAGCGGCTTCCAGAAGTGGCTCTGCGATCTCATGCTCTTCCGGCACACTTGATGCCTCCGCTATATTCGGTGCCACATCACTTTCTTCACGCCTATTCGTGTCTGCAATATAGGCTGCGAAATCCGGGCACACACGCACCTGCTCCGCTGGAGGCAGCTGCATGAAGCGGCGTGCGCATTCTTGCCTTTTATGATCATCTAGCTGCCGCCTCCGCGCGTTCTCGCCTCGAGCGGCCTTGGCAGCACGTTCCAGCGAAGGGTCTCGGCTGTGAAGCCTATAGTACGCATCACGTCCTTGGTTCCGCAGACGTTTGCGCTCGCAGTGGCTGAGTAGCTCCTCCATAGCGGCATGCTCTACGACACCTTATACAACATTAGAAACGCTAACTTCCGAACTTGTTGAGGTGTAGTCTTCCGTGACAGAGGACTGGGCAACTAGTGCCAAGCGACAAAGTTGCACCTAGTTCACTAGCGCGGAACTAGCGCGCTG